GAGTGCCGTGGCATTAGCCTAGCTCACAGCAACCTCAAACTCCTGGGCGAAATGAGCTCATTTTAAAAAGGAAAAGAAAGAAACCCACATGACTGATGAGATCAGGAGAGGAGACAACAGCAATAAAATTTGGTAAGCTGGAAAGTAGAGGAACAAATGGTAACTGATTTAACAGAACTGAGAAAGTTAAATTCTAAACTGACAGCGGGGAAAGCCAAGAAGTAACCCAGTCTACACAACTGAAAGCTCCAGGCACCTGTGAAAGTGGGACTGAAAACAGGAGGGTTGGTTGAGAGTGTGTGTTTAAGAATGATTTAAACCTACAGGTCCCCTCTCCAACTGCAAACGAGCTAGATCATTGCCCTGCTACTCAGTGAAAATCAAAGGCTCATTCACTGGAGGAGTTAAAATGGGGTCTCTTGACAGGAAGACTGCATTGATAATGAGGACATTAAGGAAAATCTGTGTAAAGAATTCAGAGTGATTGGGAGTTTGCCACTATTATCTAGGGCAAGGATCAGTGAACTTCTATGGTAAAAGGCAAGATAGGAAATATTTTTGGCTTATGGGTCATATGGTCTCTGTCACAACTTTTCAACTCTAAGAAACAGCCAGGGACCGCATGTAATAAATAAACGGGTATGCCTATGTTCCAGTAAAACTTTATTTACACAAATAGGCACAGGCCAAATAGAGCCACAGTTTGCCAACCCTGACCACCACATTGATATTCCATTCATGTTCTTTCAGAACTAAGATGTTATAGATTATTGGCTTACTCCTGTATGTTTCTTGAATCTTCTGTCTGACATATGGAAGTTGCACTTTTTTACAGTAAGCTCGTGTCAGTATCAGCAGTTCACACATACAGAGACACAACTACATGTGAACACTGGGCAACCAGCCATTCTGAGAAATAGAAAAATGAAAAAAGGGCCAGGTGCGGGTGTGGTAGCTCACGCCTGTAATCCTAGCACTCTGGGAGGCTGAGGTAGGAGGATCCCTTGAGCTCAGGAGTTTAAGACCAGCCCGAGCAAGAGCGAGACCCCATGTCTACAAAAAACAGAAAAATTAGCTGGGCCTGTTGGCATGTGCCTGTAATCCCAGCTACTCCCCAGGTACTTGGGAGGCTGAGGCAGGATTGCTTGAGCCCTGGAGTTTGAGGTTGCTGTGAGCTAGGCTGACGCCACAGCACTCTAGCCCGGGCAACAGAGTGAGACTCTGTCTCAAAAAAATAAAAAATAAAAAAATCATGATTGGGTTGGGTTTGGATAATCTCCAATTCCTACCCCGGCTCCCGTAACAGAATTTAATTTCTTAATTTAGTCCTCTAGTTTCTTTAGCAATTTGTATATCTCTCTTTGTATTAATATCAGTTGTGTACACATGTATCTCCCCAGTTACATTGTGATTTCTTTTAGGGCAGGAGCTATATTTTATACATCCTGATTTCTTAGCCTTAGCACAATACCTGCTACATAAGAGATGCTTAATAAATGTAAGTATGAAGTATTGTAACAAGTCCAGAAGCCACGTGTTACAGATGATAATTTTATCAATGGCCAGTACATTGGTTAAATCACCCCATAGGTCTTTACAGAAATTGCAGAACAAGCAGTCACTTCCTATATTTAGGTATTTTCTTTTTCAAAAAAAATCTAAAGTGCTAATGAGAATTGATTATTTTAGGTGATCGATGAGATTTATCGTGTGTTGAGATATGTCAATTCTACCAGAGCCCCTCAACGAGCTCATGAAGTACTTCAAGAATTAAGGGATATTTCTTCCATGGCAATGGAATACTTTGATGAAAAGATTGTTCCAATTCTAAAGAGGAAATTACCTGGATCAGATGTGTCTGGAAGACTCATGGGCTCTCCTCCAGGTATCTCTTGTTTATAATATAGTCACTTTATAATAATGTCTGTACATAGTTTCATAACTTGCTTCCTTTTTTTTCCCCACTTAACCATATATCTCGAACTTCTCTGTGTCAATAAATATTTATTTGCGACATCACTTAATGACAGAATGGATTATAGATTAGAACTGTTAGGAACATTTGTTGTTTCTAGTTTTACCATAGTTAACCTATACTCTGAAGAAGAATCTGAACAATCTTATGGCTAAATCTTTGCACATATCCACAAGTATTCACTTACAAAAAATTTGTTAGAAGTAGAATTGCTGAGTGAAAATTTATATATAGATGCTCCTTGACTAACAATGGGATGACATTCAGATAAGCCCATTGTTAGTTGAAAATATCATAAATCAGGCCGGGCGCGGTGGCTCATGCTTGTAATCCTAGCACTCTGGGAGGCTGAGGGAGGTGGATCGTTTGAGCTCAGGAGTTCAAGACCAGCCTGAGCAAGAACGAGACCCCATCTCTACTAAAAAAAATAGAAAGAAATTAGCTGGACAACTAAAAATTACAGAAAAAATTAGCCAGGCATGGTGGCGTGTGCCTGTAGTTCCAGCTACTCGGGAGGCTGAGTCAGGAGGATCACTTGAGTCTAGGAGTTTGAGGTTGCTGTGAGCTAGGCTGATGCCACAGCACTCTAGCCCGGGCAACAGAGCGAGACTCTGTCTCAAAAAAAAAAAGAAAGAAAATATCATAAATCAAAAATGCATTTAATGCACCTAAGCTACTGAACATCATAGCTTAGCCTGGCCTACCTTAAACGTGCTCAGAACACTTACTTTAGCCTGCAGTTGGGCAAAATCATCTAACAGAAAGCCTGTTTTATAATAAAGCATTGACTGTCTCATGTAATTTATTGCTGAAAGTGCAAAACAGAATGGTTGTATGGGTACTCAATGTACAGTTTCTACTGAATGCATATCACTTTTGTAACATTGTAAAGTCAAAAATATCCTAAGTCAAACCATTTTAAGCTGGGGACCATCCATCTGTATGTTTTGTTTATGTTTCTGATGAGTTAATTCATTTTCTAAAAACAAATAGATAGAACCCAAAAAATTTTTTCATGGAACTATTCAGTGAATTCAGTGTCTTAATGCTGCTTTAAAAGACAAGACTTCATCTGTGGTAGCTATTTCGCAAAAGAGCTTAGAGATTTCAGCCCTTATCCTGCTAAAAGACTAAATTATTTAGTGGCTCAACTTTTACTTTAAGTTAGGAAGAAATATTTAGTAAAAGTTCTTGTTTTGTTCAGATTAGTTAACTCCCTGTAATACTCAGTGGGGCAACTGAGTGGCTCTCTGTAGTTTAATAATAAAGCCTACACATCTCAGTGTTAATGTATCTATTATTTATTGAGTACCTATTATGCGCACAGCACTGCGCTGTGTCTTGTGGAGACTAAAAAGAAGTGTAATACGTGGTGTCTGCTTTCAAGGATCTTACTGTTTCAAAAGGTAAGACATATCCAGACTCAGAGTTAAATTATCATAGGAAAGAGAAATGTTTTAAGGCAGTGTCCAACTAAATGCCAGATGAGTAGCCAAGACAAAATCTTAAAGTAGATAATATCACTGTGGCTCATCTTCATATGAGCGTTGGTGTGCGAGTAGAAGTTGGGTAAGGATACGCAGAGAGGGAAGAAAGAATGTGTCAGTCAAAGAAAATATAATTATTTAGATATGCAAGGAGAAAATTAGCATGATGGGTTTAGGGTATGAATGTATCCATCTGGTTCCTTTAGAAAACCTTCAATAGATAAGGTTAAAAAAAAAAAAGATAGGTTCCTAGTTTTAAATGGTGATTTTTATGCCCATGTTACATTTTGATTATTCCTAAAAGAGAACAGGTCCAAAGCCTTACTGCACCATGTCAGAAATTCTTCATAATGTGTGATGCAACCCACTCTTTGATAGAGTCTCCTACTGTTTGGCTAAAGTTGAAGCCTTTGCCTATATAATTAAGTGCAAAGTAAACTTAAGAACATGATACAGGTTGAGTATTCTTTATCGGAAATTCTTGGGAGCAGAAGTGTTTCCAATTTCAGATTTTTTATTTATTTATTTATTTTTTTTTTGAGACAGAGTCTCACTTTGTTGCCCTGGCTAGAGTGAGTGCCATGGCGTCAGCCTAGCTCACAGCAACCTCAGACTCCTGGGCTCAAGCAATCCTACTGCCTCAGCCTCCCAAGTAGCTGGGACTATAGGCATGCGCAACCATGCCCAGCTAATTTTTTCTATGTATTTTTAGCTGTCCAATTAATTTCTTTCTATTTTTGGTAGAGACGGGGTCTCACTCTTGCTCAGGCTGGTCTCGAACTCCTGAGCTCAAACAATCCACCCGCCTCGGCCTCCCAGAGTGCTAGGATTACAGGTGTGAGCCACCGCGCCTGGCCCAATTTCAGATTTTTTAGATTTTGGAATATTTGCATCACAGTTGCTAGTTGAGCGTCACTAATTCAAAAATCCAAAATGCTCCAGTGAACATTTCCCTTGTGCATCACATCAGCACTCAAAAAGTCTTGCATTTCGGAGCATTTCGGATTTCACATTTTTTGGATTAGGGATGCTTAACCTATAGGTCTATACTTTTAACTTGAATGTTTATGTTTATTTATGTGAATAAGATAGAAAATAATTCTAATTTTACTATTTGTATTCTTACAAGGTCCTAAAAATGTTCTATAATATTTTAAATCCAAGTTTATGCCATTATGTACTTCTTCATTTTCTGGCATTCTCCACATGGAGCAGGAGAATCAGAATTCAAACTCATTAATAGTTAAAACAGTGTGTCTGATTAACCCATTAGACCAAGTGGATTGCAAAGAAGAAATTATCAAAAGTTGATATTATAAGCATATTCCATTTTAAAATAAGTTTAGGTATTATTGGTAGGGAAACATTTTAAGTGATTGACCCTTTTAAACTATTTCTCCACAGTTCCAGGACCATCTGCAGCCCTAACAACAATGCAGCTCTTCTCCAAGCAAAACCCTTCAAGACAAGAGGTTACCAAACTCCAGCAGCAGGTTAAAACAAATGGTGCTGGCGTGACTGTTCTCAGGCGTGAAATTTCTGAGCTTCGCACCAAAGTGCAAGAACAGCAGAAACAGCTTCAAGACCAAGATCAGAAACTGCTAGAACAGACCCAGATCATAGGTGAACAGAATGCACGGTTGGCAGAGCTGGAACGCAAACTACGAGAAGTAATGGAAAGTACAGTGGGGAACTCCTCAGCGTCTGGACAGAATGAGGAGTCTCCTCGGAAACGAAAAAAGGCCGTAGAAGCCATAGACTCTCTTAGGAAATCTAAACGTCTTCGGAATAGAAAGTAAATTGGAATGTGGTCCTAGCTCCAGAGGAAGACATGGCTTAGTGGCTTAAGCAGTTACCACGTATCAGGATACTGTGAGCAACATGGTGTCCCCTAAGGCTTCTATTCTTTCAGAACACAACTTGAACTCTTACCATTGGGACAGTCTTTTCCTGCTTCTCCTGGTTGAACTGATGCACAGGATCTTTTTGCTTTGCAATAGATTTGTACTAACCAGACCTGGTCTATCATGTTTTGAGGAGTTAACTTTTTTCTGTGCAGATAATGTTTAAAGTAAGTTAATTTGTTTCTGCATATATGCACATTACGTAAGGATCTTAAACCCAGTCTTGACAGACTAGAAATTAAGTTTAATGCGGAAAATGTCCTGTTCACTTGAAAGAAAAGATCTACTTTTTAAATGGACACTATCTTGTTTTTTTGTTTTTTTTTTTTTTAACATTGTCTTTTTGTTACAAGTGACCTTGTCTGGAATGTCTGAAGAGTAATTAATGCTTTTTGGTATTGAAGTAATGGGTAACTAAAACGGACTTCCATAGTACTGACTGTAGAAGGAGCCTCTACAGTATTGACTATATATTTTTATAAACTACTGGCAAGGCACTTATCCAGTTGTTAAATACATGTTTTCAATTCTCTTTTGGGGCCATGTCCTACATTTGCATGGATGGATGCATGTGTTGCCTAGTCAACTCACTTAAAAAGCTCTTGCACTGGTATTGATCTTGAACCTCTATACTTCTCCACTTTTTACAGCAGCATCTTAGTTTATTTAAGCGCTTAACATCTTCCACCGCAACAGCTTGCCTCTAGAGGAGGAATTGTTAGTCCCTTTGTCCTCCAGTTTTATAGGAACAAGAGACTCTTTAAAGCCCATTGCTTTATCTATTCTCTGTAGGGTTCAGGTACACTGGCTAAGGCAGAACCCCAAATTCCAAGGCTCTTTTTATCAATAGTGGACCTCCGGGAGCTAGTACTGTGCGTCACTTACCACCGTGTGTGCTCGTTGATCACGTGAGTAGGGGACCCGACTTACAGGATGTAGTTTTGCCATTGAAGGAAAAGTTCATTGAAGAAAATCGTACATGAAAAAAGCATTTTGATTATTTCATTTCTGGGGGATGACCTGAAGAAAGCTTTTTAATATTAATTTCAAGGTTTTCTTATCCTACAACTTTAAACAAAAGCTTTAATTTCATTTGCACTCCTGTTTTGAGCTTGTAACTGGAAAAGCATGTCTTGCACTGTTCAGCCTTCTGAGTGGTCACTTTAACAACCTCCAAATTGTGTACAGTGGTTACTTTCCCCAGCTGTATATTTTTTGAGACATTTAACTATCACTGTCCTGGTTTTATTTTAATGTACTAAATTATGTAGTTATTTGAATGTTAAGTTCTTTTAAACAACTGTTGCCATGGGCTTCAGTTATTTAAAGCAAATTTAGATATACTATAGAAAATTATCCCTTTCTAGGTGGGAGTTTAACACCTGTGTAAAACCTAAGGTTTTGGTAAGTACCTTAGTCAAATAAAAGCACAAAGTTATCACCTTTTTTATCCGTCCAACATGACATGGTTATGCATCCTTTAGATTAACCTCACCAAATGAAACTTTATCCATTTTTAATTATTGTCCTTATATAATATTGTCCTTAGGTTTTGATCAATTCTATGTCTAACTTTGAAATTTCATTTACAATGTAGTATGTTTTCAATGAAAAACCATAAAGTAACATCCAAGTGTTTCATGGTTTGTTGGGAAGGTAATTTTAAAATAAAACAATTTCCAAAAAACATTTGTCAGCCAAGGTCATCCGTAAAAGTCCCCGTCTGGAACTCATTTTCTCAGCAGTTCTCATTTTTTTAATCATAGGATTTAGCCATATTATCATAACTTTGGAGGAGGCCTACTAGAATACCCATGGCCTTTAATAGTCTGCTTTTCTGGTAATAGGAAGACTTTTTTTTAAAAGTATAAAAGTCTGTATTTACAGGTTTACAAACTATGATCCTTAGGCATCAAAGGGATATAGCCTCAGATTATTTCTTTAATAGTTGTTAATGAATTATTAGGTTTCCTGAATTTCTTTTTAAACTACATCTAGATATCCTAGATGTATGTATAGTCTTCCATTAGTTAACATGAGTATCTGGCTTTCAAAAATAAGCAGTCACACTATTAGAAGGTAGATACTCTGTTCCAAAATCCAAATTTTTACAGCATACGCTTGTCATCACCTGTCCATGAAGCTAATAAGTTGCACGTGTTAATACATGAATGTTCCATATAGTAGGAGAATAAAGCATTGCAGTTCAGTTGTTCAAGTCTTAAATCTTAGACTAACTAAAACACGTTAGGGTATTGTCTTCATTTATTAGGACAGTTATTCGAGAGCTGTGTTGCTTGCTAATGGATAGCATAATGGTATTTAAGGCTTAACAAATCACAAATTATTTTGATCAGCTAAAACTGACGTACATTAACAGGAAAACTGTAAATCTCCTGAGAGCCATCCTGCCCTGCATTTTACATGTTATTTAAATGCCGTGTGTTAATATTGTGTTGTCCTAATGCAAATTTCTTAAAGTATTCCCATTGTCTTCCTTGGCTGTTTTTCAGAGAAGACTTCTCTATTTTAATGGGTCATTCCCACATATAAATTTATTGTGGTACAACACTACACACATGGATAAAAATGTGAAAAAGCATGTATAACAAATGGAGAGGACTGGCCCCACACCCAACCTCAAGCGGATCCTCTGCTTATCTCTCACTTGGACTTGGCTTGCTTGGTTTTCACATATTCTGAGGTTATAGAGCCTGTTTTTGAAACTCCTCTTTTGATATACAGAGCCTGGAAATAATGGGGCAAACACAAATGTATTCAGAATATTATACTGTTTTAAAGACTATTGGGGTGCCATCAAATCTAAAGCCACTGGTTTTGGAAGCAACTTTTTTTGTAAAACGTGTTTTCTGGAGTACTGAACCTTATAGGGGTTTGCCTTAATCTCTATTGAATAGTTTCAAGTTGTATGCGCTATTATTCTACGTGTTAAAATGTTAAAATATTCTATGTAGCCCCAAAGGTGGGTAAAACAGAGTATAAGTAATGCCTAAATAAATAAGCTAAAAGGTGTCACTACAGCTGGATTTTTGAGAGAAAATGGACATATAAAAATAGGCTATGTGTAATAAAAATAATGGCACCTTAGGATTGCACTATTTTATGCATTATTTTATATGCCATTTCATAGCCTGCACTTTAATCTCCAAAGAAACAACGTGTGATGTCCCAGTTGTTCCTTATTATTAATAAACTTTTTCTTAAGACAGGGCACTTAATTCTATTTTACTATACTGAATTAGTTTCTTGGAGGTGGATTCCTTTTTTGAGTTCTCTATTTCCTTAGCCATAATATTTTCTAGGATCTGGGAACTCCCTATCTATTTCCAACAGCATATGACTTTTATTTAATGTAATGTAAATCTCATACTTGGTGATCAGCACATTCTTACATCCTGCTCTAGCAATGAGTACCCATTTATTACACTTACCAAATCCTCTACAAATATATGCTGTAAGATTTGAAGCCAGGAATAAAAAGCATTCAGAAAGGAAACGTCCTGTATGATACAGTCTCTTGGAAATGGCTGATTCTAACAAGAAGCCCAATTTGATATGCTGTCCAATTCTTTGATTTGGGATCTATCTGAATTGCTTTAGTATACAAAAGGTTAAGTTAAAACTATTTTAAACTTCTATAGCCTGCCATATGAGGTGAATTATTTTCAAAAAATACTAAATTAATCTATAAAATGAGACTAGCAATTGCTGCCTACTGTGGTTTTAATTTCAATAGCAATATAGTTGTATTGGTGATAAATATGACAGATTTAAGTAGTGTTCTTTTTGCAAATTCCTAAGAATCTTGGTTAAATTTCTGAAGTTCAAAAATCCAAATTTTTTCTATTGTGTCTGAAGAGAACTGTGAGATTTAGAACCATATTGGTAATCTAGTAGGTCCATTGCCAAAGTATACCGGTCCATATTCAAAGCTAACCAAAAGGTTAGAAGTGTTTAAAATTCCTTTATGTGGTACCATGTCTGTTTACCTATGCTTATGAGCAATGATAAATTATTAGTTTACCTTCTGGAATTTTAATTGTTATAACCTAATCAATCATTGGAAAGTGAAAATCACCTCCCGGTCACACAACAGGGTACGTAAATAAATGTGTTGTTACCAGTGCTACTTGTTTTCTTTGTATTTCATGCACAAAAGAATATGGAGCTCTGTTGCCAACATACCATATTAATAGCTACTGTCTTCTGCAGCACTGTACTTACTGTGTGTTTTACACATGTTGTGGTCCTCACAGCCACCCTGTAAGTCAGAATTTACCCTCCTTGGAGGAAGTTGAACTCAGGCCAGGTAACCTGTCCACAGTGTTATACATGTAAGTGACTTAAGTGGGATTTGACTCAGACCTACCTGCCTCTGAAGTTCATGAACTTCCTACTGCACCAACTCCTAAAAAAGCCGGGGACAGTGAAACTCTAAACTTCACGTAAGGATGATCATTCCATACATCCACTAGATGCAGTCAGTGCCAGAATCACTAATGCTAAGAGAGCAGCATGGAGAAGGAGCCCAACATCAAGAAAAAGCTGGGCTTGCGGGAAGCAACTTTTAAGGGTTTTTGGCAGTGGATTCACGCTAGGTGTGCAGGTACACAATGTTTTAAGGCTTCTAGAACCTGTAACCTTAACTAAGAGGCAATCCTAGCAGTAGCTGTGGTCTGAGGCCACTAACAGGTCTAAAATCACCTTACTATAATATATGCTGCTGGTCAGTACAAAAGTAGTGACCACCAATCCTTTTGCTCTGCCAGGGAAGAATACTGGTTCTCTTCAAAATTTCTTCTAGCTCCAAAACTAAATACTCAAAATTGTAATGAGATAAAATCATATAAATCAATTTCACCGATTTTTTAAAGGCGTAACCATGATAGAGAATTACTGAAAACAAAATTCTCTGGGGAACAACAAACTTCTCTAATAAGTGCTGTAACCCCATCCTTTCCACAACTTAGATGTTCAGAAAAGATCACATATAACTTTATGCTGAAGGGTGAGGGTGACAGCAGTGGTATAATTGTCTCAACACCATCTCTGCATTCTAGTCATTCAGATAACGTAGCCCAGAAAAGTAAAGGTGGCTGCTGTGTAGACCAGTCTTCAGAAGGTAGGTAGATCAGGGTGGAAATCTTTATTTTCATATTCTCCAGGTGGCTAAGTTGCTGTGTTATACATTACATTGGTAGACAACCAGGATCTTGACCAGTATTCTTGCTTTTTCTTTTCTTTAAAAAAACAAAAATCCTTTATGAACTTCCTCGTGTGAACTCCTGAAATGATTCTTACAGGCTCCATTAAAGATAATGTTCTTTCCAGAAAAGTGTGTCTCAATTTGCTGGGATACATTCCTCTGGTTTTTGGTGAATCATTTATTTCCTCAAAGCAAAATTAAAGTGCCAGGCATGGTGGCCAGGCGTGGTGGCACCCACCTGTAGTCCCAGCTACTTGGGAGGCTGAGGCAGGAGGATCCCTTGAGCCCAGGAGTTGGAGGTTGCTGTGAGCTAGGCTGACGCCACAGCACTCTAGCCCAGGCAACAGAGTGAGACTCTTGTCTCAAAAAAAAAAAAAAAAATGAGTAAATTGTAGAAAGCAAAAATTGAAGTGGTAAATGTTTGAGCAAAAAATACAAATAACTAGAAAGGAAATACAAATGAAGGATGAACTTCCCAAAATTCAATAAATTCTCTTCCTAGAAACACAACTAAATACTTTTCAACTTTCTCAACTTTTCTTTTGTGTGCTTTTAAACTTTTTCCCCCTTTGAATTGGACAAAAGTCAATTTTGAATGAACTGATTTGTGTTTGTGAAGCGCCAATGTAAATAGTAAAATTGGCTCCAGGAATGTAAGACCTAAGGTGGGCCATTCTGTGTTAATACAAGGAACACCCCTCCCTTTTTAAGGCCAAGCAAAAGATTCCTCGGTGGGGGTGGGGGGCGCAGCAGGTTGGGGAGAATAGCGGGGACAGGGGGCCAGACTGCTCTGTAGACAACCAGTTTCCATAACCCTAGGCACTGCTATAGCTGCCTTCCACCCCCAAAGCAGTGCTGAAATGCTGTTTGTGTCCACCTCGTAAGAGGACAAAATGAATGGCAAGGGATAACAGAGTGCCCAGTACATGCTAAGCACATAATAAACAGTGGTGGTATCTACAGATGTAGATATGACTATGCAGAGATATAGATGTGTATACACGCACACATACTCCACAGGTGGAGGGATGCACGTGTGTGGTTGGTGGGCTCCAAATGCAGCTGTTCAGAGTTGACAGTGCATTGGCTGGCTGCACAGATTTACTTCAGTCCCTGCTCTAACACATTTAAATATTTAAGTGTGTGTGTGTGTGTGTGTGTGCGCGCGCACACACCTCCTATGGGGTGTTTATTTTCAGTCCATCCTAACTTTGTCATCAATTAGAATCCTAGAGCAAAAAAAAGCTTTGGAGATGATTTAAGTAATTGAAGTGTCTCTGAAGTAACAGGGATTTGCATAAGGCCACACACTTTGATAACAGGAATTCACAGGACATTTTGCACTTCCCCATAGGGCCTCCTGAAGAGCCACAGGGGAGAAAACCAGTTCTTGGAGTGCTCCTCTGCCTGGGGCTGGGGGCATGAAAGAAGGAAGGGGAACCTTGGGCTAGGACTGGTAGAATGAAAAGAAGAGCCTCTCCAAAGCTCCCTGCACCTTCAGATGCAGCTTAGGGTGAGGGTGAAGCTCACACGCTCTGGAACCCATACATGGGCTCCTCATCCCAGCTCTACCGTGACCAGCTTGGGACTCGATGTCTCTGAGGCTCATTTTCATCATTCTTAAAATAGTTCCTACCTCATAGAGTTATTGCAAAAATGAAAGAATCCCACCATCAGTCCCAGCACCTGGGACAGTGTGTGCTTCACAAACGTTCTATTATAACAAATTGTTTCTGGTAGAGGGAAGACTAATTTTACACAGCGCACACAAAGCGCTTAGGTGAGTTTTCATGCTGTAGATTTTTCTCTCTCATAAAAAAGCACAGAAGTTCCCTGTAGGGCATTGCCTCTTGCAGTGTGGCCCATGGGTCCACAGCCTCTGAATCACCTAGGAGTTCCTTTGGAATGGAGAATCTCAGGCCTCCTTTCAGAATCAAACTCTGCGTTGTAGCAAGATCGCCAGGTTTGTCCCACAGTAGCACTTCTCACATTAACATTTGAGAAGTGCTACTATGGGACAAATTTGTTATTTTGCAACTAAATGCTATACAACTCTTAGCTCACCATCTTTGTAACATTCACAAAGAAAATGGAGAGGGGCAGGGGAGGGGAAGAGGGAGGAAGGGAAAAGAGAGGAGAAAATAAAAAAGTTGGCACGTCCCAGAGACAGCTATTTGAGACCAGCAGAGGTCATGACCATCGGCCAACCCCAGCAAAAAACAACTTCATCATCTTTGGTGTCATCAAGGAAATTTCTATTAAAATTCCCAGCAGCAACAGACCAGTCACTAGCATTTGAGAAGAAAGAAACTATAAAAAATATCAAAATATCTATTAAGGAGATGGGTTTCATAAATTGTGATATATCCTCACAATGGAATACGAACCAGGTTTAAAATGAGAACATTCTTTATATGCTAATATGGAAAGATCTCCAGGAATGCTAAGGGAAATAACAAACTGCAGAACAGTAATAAAGTATATTAACATTTGGGTAAAAAAAGAAAAAAAAAAGAGGGAAATAATATCTCAAGCACTGGTTGACAACGTTTTTGGTCAACAATGGACAGCATACACGACAGTGGTCCCATGGCATTATAATACCATATTTTTACTGTACCTTTTCTATATTTAAATATGTTCACATACACAAATACTTACTGTTGTGTTATAGTTGTTTATAGGATTTAGTACGGTCATATGCTGTACAGGTCTGTGGCTTAGGAGAAGCAGGATGTCCCATGCACCCTAGCGTGCAGTAGGCTATACCATCTAGGTTTACTTAAACACATTCTATGATGTTCACACAATGAAGAAATCATCTAACAGTGAAATTCTCAGAAAGCATCCCTGTTACTAAGTAAATCATGATTGTATTGCTATCTGGTCACATGAATATACATAAACAAACTCTAGAAAAATGCACCAGGAATTCATAATGGCAGCTATAATTTGGAGTTGGACAACAAGCCAGGGGAACAGGAGTCAGGATCACCAGACGTGTTTTGTAT